GATATCTCTTCAATACATCTTCACATCATCGCTACTTAATAAACAACAGAAGCAACTCAGTATATTGTAGATTAAGTCTTAATAACCGTCATGGTCTGACTTTATATATGAATATAGTCATTGCTACAGAGTTACACATACCTACAGACAGACTTTCAGACAAGCAGCTTAGATCAGATCAAAAAGGTCCTGACAGCTCTGAATGATAACAGCTGAGTGGGGTTGCTTCACATTTGTCTGCACAATTACATTGGCTTCACATTATGTAGAAATGCTGCTGTCAGTCTTAACCACGTAAGCAAAAAGCCTCTCACCAGTGGCTGTGGCAGTAGGGCTCAAGCTTTTAAACATGTGCATTGTAAAGAATTTTTGTCAGCCAGTCACAACTCATTATTATCAGTCTCAAGCTTTTTGATAGTCAGGCAGATTTCAGAGTTGACCGCAGTCGAAGTGGGTCCAGAGGAAGGGGTAAAATGTGATTTTCTAGTCCATTTAAAAATGCTCTGCCAGGCTAACATACAGACAATTTGTGCTCCAATCCAGTTGACGAGTATATATTTGAAGTTTGCATCTCAAAGAAAAAGCCTCATGAGCACAAGAAGAACATACAAACTATACACAGAAAGCACCAGGACCACCCTCCTTGTTATGAAGCAATAGTGCTAAAACCCGAGCAGACCTCAACCAAATTGGATTAAAACATTCACAAACTTATTGTCATGTTGTAAACTATTGTTTCAATTTTTATGGAAGCTAGTGTCTGTATCATATTCGAATTGACAGTAAATCTCTAACACAGCTAGGTCACCAGAATTGATACATTTCACAGCATAGTTGTATTTTCTTCATTAAAACTGCAGCATAAACCCAGTACTGTCACATTTCCACAATTTCAGCAGCAGCCTCCCTTCTTCCATAACAACTGTATCATCTTTGCTGTAGCTCAAACATCATGTCAATTACACATACACCTGCAGAGGGCTACAACAAAAAATTAAAAATCCAGTGCATGTTTTGGTATTCATCAGAGTGTACTGTGTGCTCTTCCTTTAGGCTTCCAGTACATAAGCATCTTAGCATATATGTAAAGTCCCCTTTTTTTTATTTTTTACTTTCTATCCTAATGCATATCAACAGTGTGACACACTGTGTGTTCTGGGTTAAATGGTTTGATGTTCCAGAGTAGATGTATCCAAATTACTTGTCTTTTCCTAAGTTCGCTAATGATCCTACAGAATTAGTTGCTTGTGCTTTCCTGTCTGTAGTTCTGTAGAGTTTGATAGTTGTGTGTGAACTCTCGATGTCAGCCATTTGCATGCAAGGCTGGTTCCACTGCAGAGGAGAGGAGAAGCCTGACGCTCTGATTGGTGCAGGAGTTGCTAGACAACAGATGTCCAGCCGGCTGGGAGGTGGACTACCTGTGGAGGAGGGAGAGAGAGGAGAGACAAAGAGAGAGTGAAAGAAAAGTGGAGGTGGAAAATGACAGAGAGGAGTGAGGCTGTCAAATGACTGACATTTACAGTGCGCAGTGATATATAGTACAGCGAAGAATACAACTAACATAACATGACCACCTTTGTACATACCTTTACACAAGAGTTTGCTATGTTTTAATTTGCTTTAAAGAGAAACATTTTACAACAATCTCCATTTCTACATTATTTTGTCTTTCTACTGTATGACTAAAACAGCAATTACTATTACTTATCAGTATACAACAACTCTATACTCTGGTACAGATAAAATTAACATATCAAAGCAGTAACATATTAACTAATTTTTTTATTAAATTTTTTAATTGAAATGTGCAAATTGGGCCAATATATTAATGTTTTCAAATTTGTCATTTAGCCACAGAAAATTGTCGTAATATTATATACAGTGTTGTAGTACTCATGTCAGATCTCGGACTAAAACGAGTACATTTTAGTATGATATTTGCACTCTGACTTTTCTAGAATTGGTCTCACCTAATATTGTAGTTGGTCTTGAGACAACAAGGCTGTAAAGACAGACTAGTGATAAGTCTCTGTCTCCAGCAATACATGTTTTTTTTTTCTGAAGTAACTTCCTCCTTCAAAACAAAACCATTGTTCAAGCGCACATTGACACTGGCCAGGTGGCGGCAAATTAATGTTGCTTGTGATCGTGGCGTTAATGAAATGAATCTCTCAACTTAGCAAAGGAAAGTTTGAGTTTGTGTGTTGAAAGAAATGATGTGTCATTCAGTGACATGGTAAGACTGAGGCAGAGATGGAGAGATTAGTGACCTTGCTCAGAGGGTCTTGCTAATCATGAAATAATGGCTGAACTGCCCTTGTTTCTGGCACTGCCTGTCAGGATGTCTCTCTGCTGTTGGGCTTGTCTCTAAAGCTGGCAGTATACTTCAAAATAAATTGAAATTGGCGTGTTCTCACAGGCAATATGGTGGACTTGCAACCACACAAAAGAGCGGCATCGGGCTCCGTTTGTTGCAGCATGTGCTGGCCTCTTATCAGAACATGTCACACAGTATTATTTCACCACCCCGGAAGTTGGTTCACACTGTCATATGATTAAATGTGCTCCATATGTCTTTGGCCTTA